TGTCACTTGAGTCGTTATTTTACCACCGCCATCAGAAACACACCGCTTTTAGTGACAGTGGGAGTCGATTCGGTTTCAGTATTTCCGCATTTGGTTTCTGTATTTGGTTGCTGTTGAAATGTGGCAATTGAGAGGTGGTGGTGATGACTAGCTAATGTCTTCTGAACTTGTGCAGGCTACAAAGTAATATCGGTGGTCCAGTGTTTGTCAGTGAGGAGATGAATGAGGGAGAGAAGGGGCGGGGAGGAGGAGAGGGTTGACATAGAGTAACACATCACCATCTTGTGTCTGGCTCTGGTCAGAGCTACATTCACCTCGCATCCAGTCACACAGCAGATTACCAACCGGGTAGGGGTAAACATAGCTACCACCAGGAACTAAATCTCTTGCTGACATCATTGGCAGTGTGCATGGCCAATCTTAAATTGGTGACATAAATAGCGACATCAGAAAAAGAGCCAATAAATGTACCAAACGAAAATAGATGTCTCTGCAAAGATAAGGTGCGCTAATATAAAAACTTTCTTAAAAATGGCCCCGATTAATGACACTGATCTTACCCTTCATAGTTTCATCCCGCCCTGGCTCCAGGTTGTGTTGGATGAACATCCTGTCTGATCTCGGCAGCAAGATTCTCACATTCAAGAAGCGTACTTCTGTCAGAGGCATGACCTCCCCCCAGACGATCCTACATACTCTCAGACACAGTGGTTGCCGTAACCATTTGTATTGGATTCCGGTTCTCCGGCCTTAAGTGCATACCTCAATACCTCTCTCACTGGGTGCCTCTTAGAGGACTTCATGCACTTCCCCTAACCCTTACCACCCTCATCAGCTGTTTGGGACTATCCTCTATATACAGTGGTTCTAATCATTTTTTTTCTCAAGCCACCCGCCCCCTCTTTTCACACAAAGCACGAAACGTCGCCGCTTCTCAAATGACCACAGGCTCACCTGCTTGGTTTGAGGGGTGTAAAATAGCTGGAGAAAGCTGTGTATGGAGTTGGACCCGGTATCTTTTCCAGACCTCATCAGACCCCAGCCATGAAATAAAACCTATTGACCTGCTCTGCGAAAGGCCCTTAAGTCGATATTTATTGCTTGTATTATTGTAGATCCCCCTTTTTTTCAGTGTGGAAAAAAAATAAAGGAATGCTTTCTAATTTTCGAGAATATTGTTGAACCACACCCCCACGAACATGAGAAAACATCCATAAAACATATCCGAAAACATACTGAGCCATGGTTGTGAACTACAGCATACACTGTCCCGTCACTCAGAACTGAACATTATATATCTATAATAATAGAGTTAAAACTGGAAAGATAGAGAAAGAGTATGGCAACCTAATGGCACAATAAAACAAAAATCACGATCATGCATGCATTTACAGCATGTAGTGCTAAATCAAAATGTTGTCCATTGGGTTAAGGCCCTTTCGCAGAGCGCGTCACTACTTTTGTTTCTTGCACAAAAGCCAAGTAGTATTTTATGCGTCTGGGCGGAGCACACCTTTTCTCTTGCGTGGGTGTGAACTGACAGACAACTCTATGAACATGCTCTAAAAAAAGACACAGAGAAACAACCAAAGACAGTAATTAATATTGGTTTGTGGCTTTTTTCTCTACTGACTCTCTATTTACCCCATAACTTTTCCCTAACCGTTCTCTACCTTTCCCCACTTATGTGGTCCTATATACCCCACCTAACCACTATGTTATCATTATGCTTGCACTGCACTATCTACCGGATTTGTAGTTAGTAATTGCTTTTGATATTGTAAGCTTCGGACTACAAGAATATTATGGCCCCTTTCTATATATACCCTTAGTGAAACTTACTGCAAACATTATTTTGAAAAAACAATCACGTTCTTATAAAGGAGCAGCATAAGCCACATTATGGTCAGTTGTGATATTCCGAGACATTGTGGTGGTGACATAGGCTGTGTTTGGTTCAGTTGGAATGACAGAAGAGGAGGTGGTCGGTGGAAGAACAACCTCGTCATACACTGGCATGGTTCTCATCTGATGAGCTGTCCCTGAGGAGATACCAAGCAGTAATGAAGATGGAACACACACACACCCTATTAAGTAATTGTGTAACACCCACATAAAGTCACTTCCTTGCACAGTACTAGCTATACCTCTTGAGAATGTTACCTGTATTGGTTGCATTTCTGGACTTGCTTCTTCTGTGAAGATGTTTTACCACCACCATGACTAACACAGCTGAGCCACATCCTAGAACACATCCCACTACTGCAGTGCCTGAAAAAACTGGAAAAAAGGGTAAGATAAGCTCCTGTCTGACTGCCTTACCAGTTGATATGACAACAACTTCTGTTTTGGAATTTTCCACATTGCTTTTTCCAGTCACTGTTTCCTCCTTTTCATCATTCCTTTCATTGTTCACTGTATCCTCCTTATCGTCATTCCTATCTCCATTCACTGTTTCCTCCTCTTTATCTGGAGAGCAATAATTATATTAGACTTTATTTAATTCTAACATATCTACTCTACACCTGTTACATCACTGAGCTTGAAAGTGAGGAGAGGCTGTTCCTCCATTCCAGTCACAGGGTGTTTTCCAAACAAGGCAAATGTGTAGTTCTCAGGAGAGTGGACAGCCAGAGAGACAGGGAAATGTAGGAGGTGGGGCATGTCTACCACTGTCAGGAGGGCCGTCCCATACTCTCTGTAGACAAGGACACACGAGGCAGTCTGTGGAGACACCTCTGAGAATTGACAGTCTATCACAACAGTTGACCCGTTTCTTGATATGTTGCCACTCTTGAGTATTTGGGAGGTGTTTGGTGACCTCATCACTGTAAATAAAAAATCACTCTAAAAGGAAACATGGGTACATTTAGGCATGCTCTAAACAGTAAAACAACAGCAGAGGTGAAATTGAGTAGTCTGTGATAAACAGTTACCATCCATCCCTGACTCCATTATGGTCTGATTCTCCAGTACAACAGCAGGCACTGTGTATGGAAGGTCATTCTCCTCCACATCATATCCATACACAGTGTAGGTGGAGGGAGGGACAGGCACAGTGGTGGAGACATTATCCTGGGAATGGGTTCTAAGAAGAGCTCTGAATATGTCAGGAAAGGTAGGGGGTCCCTGGAGGACTACCAGACATCCTGCAGCTCGTGACCCACTCACAAACTCTCCTCTCACTAACACTCCTCCTCCTCTTTCCTCTTCCATTGACAGACTCTGGACATCATATGTTGCTGTAAACACAAAGGAAATTAAAAGCCACAACAATGGCGTGTCTTACAAAAGTTGTTAAAAGATGTATTCATTGCCCCAGCAGTGGTAAACACTTCGAAAAAGACGGAAAAATACTCATTTTCAGGCAGTGTGTAGACTAAAAGTCTCTCAACCCCCAAATTTGAGAGATTGAAATGTACAGCCTCATTATCAAGTCCATTCACTCCATGGAGAATGTATCTACATATTTGTTTCCACATCTCCCTGTGAACAGTGAGAGGGGGTAATAGTGTAACTAGCAATATTACAACTCTTACACAAACTTGAAATGTGACATTAACCACATTAAAAATAGCTTTCAGGTTTGTTATGAAAAAGCTGATTGAAGGAGGCTTGCCTGCAAAATATAAAAGGCAATGTACATTAGAGAACGAAAGATAGTGCAGTTAACTTACTGACAGTGACATTTATGGCTACTCTCTCCCTGGCCAGCTCCATTGAATGGGATAACAGAGAAGAGGTAGACATGACAGGGGCTAAGGTAGTCAGGAGTGAAGGTACAATTTGTCTCAGTGATATTGATACAGTCAGTACAGAGGAGGGCTGTTGGGTTGTTCTCATCTGTCACATTGTAGATGAGGACAGAGTACCAGATATCAGGATCAACATCAGTCACATCCAGAGAGAATGGAGGTGTCCACGAGATGATAACTGAGGTAGCACCATATGTAACTTCCATATTATTGGATACTGCTAACAATATACCTACATTTTTACGGGAATAAAATTAACATGAATGAAATGGCTCAAATTTTCTTGTATATACCTTGAATATTTAATGTGGCAATCTTAGTCTCATAAAATATTGGGTCAGTAAACACTGATGCTGCAAAACATTCAACTATAGTTCCATTGTACTCAGCTCTTGCTATGATACTCAGTTCCATCACAGTACCCGCAGCAGTGTAATTCCACAAGGCCAGGACCAGATCACCACGAGGAAAGTTGTACCGTAGTGTTCCATTAAATATCCATTCAGAGTGAGAAGTATCTACCTCACATGTAAACACAGCTGTCTGGTTTAAGAAGACAGTTTTGCTCTCAGGACCATGAATTATTATCCCTGGAAAAGAGCCGAGAGGCAATGTTTAGGTGGTACTTAGGAGGCACCTACCTTGAGCAAAAGCGAATACTATAGAATTACCAAGGAGCAATGCTCCAAAAGGTGCACTCATTCTTCTATGCTCTCCCTTTCTTAAAAAGACAGAACTGAGGTAGGAGATGTATGAGGAGGCGGGTTATCTGACGCATTCTTGATGTGCGCATGCGTATCGCGGCGGTAATCTCGGCGCATGCGCACTAGTGGTACGAATAAAAAAACTCTAGAGAAGATGTCTGTTGCAGCGGACGTCTCCGATTGAAAGTGCGGGTATAAAGCCGTCTTTTCCGATAATACATACAACTCGGTCGTCTATCGGCGAGATCCGGAAGAACGTGACAGAGGCTGCATTTGTCGCACATCCCATCCTCTGCCTGTAGGGCAAGTGTGGCAGACGACTGTCCTGGAAACCTCGGGAAAGGGCGCTAATGGACTGGTAAGTAACTGTATAATAATACTAGTAGGCGAATGCACGTGGTCGCTACTATATCCACGAGTGCAAGCCACTGCAACCAGGTTAGCTACTTGTGGTTTAAGCTTTTTGATCAGTGCATAAATTAAACTATGTCCCTACATAATTGTGCTGTTGGTGTACAAGGAAATCCAAGTGCATTAATTTTTGTTCTTCACTTTATGGTTATAAATTGCAATGGACACATCATAATCAATCAAACTCTATATATAATAGCTACTAGCTGCTAATAATATTGTCATGAGACTAATAATGTGTACGGTTGGGTTCTATTCAACTTGTATCGATCCGAGACTCCTCAAGACCCGATTCTCCACGCAGGGAATTGGAGTGACCGCCACTCTTCCTGATGGTGTGCCTGTATGAATTGTATGGCCATGACTCTGGACCCACGGACTGGTACTGTGTTGATTCATAATTATATCACAATGGAAGGTGAAATTCAATCCGGTCTTGCTGATTTTTTTCTCTGTTAAATATAGCCATACTGAGTTTACTCTGTAGATTCCAAGAAAAAAACAGAGACTCTGATAAGGCAAAGTGTATTAAACTTTCTTCAGGGACTTCTTAGAGAGATGAATAATTAGTTTTGACATATGAGCCACAGGCAACCTTGCTTGAAGAAGCGACTACGATGAGACAACTAACTGTGTCGGGAGTAAAGTTCGTTCGCTATATGATATCATACTGCATAGAGCTACTCACGTTCATTGCAGTATGGCGTGGCTTTCACTTGGGAGTGTTATTCCAACAACATGTCATCTAACCGGCATGACACAACTAAAATTTACTACAGAATGTAGTCTGTTTGGATAGGTAATTTTAGGGTAGCACAAATGCCTACTCCAAATACTTGACACAAGTCAGACCCTCTGGGGCAAGTCTATAGAGTTTACTGGAACGAATGTAATGCCAGTGAACGTGATAGTGTTGCTGAAATACAGTTAGGTGATAAATCATGTATTTAGAATCATGTAGGACATTACGGTAAGGGTGACAATGCCAGATGCAACTTACAGAAGTAACATGCACAATTCAGCAGATAACTAATAATAAGTAGGTTCGCTTCACTCACCAACTAAATACATTTTCGTACTGTGCATGTATGTGTATGATGTATGGATCTGGGTGTTTCTATGCATGTTGGGCATTTGCGCAGGTGCAGTTAGTTACAAGTAGCCGAATTTCACAACTGAGTATAAAGGTTGGCTTTACTACTATGGCCGGCCCTGCACGAATATCAGACTCACAATGCAGGAGCTCAGATTTGATCTTAGTACATCTTCCGTACACATCAACTATGCCCCATAGTTGTTTGATCAAGATTAAACTGCCCTCACGAGTTGGGCCTAAAGTGACTGCATTTGGTACCATTCTTCTGAAAGATGACCTCGGGAACAAGATGGCCAACATCAGAAAGAGGGTATGTGAAGACCCAGAGGAAATGGCAATGGAGGTTCTGAGGGAGTGGCTGGCAGGGAAGGGGGTGGAGGTGTCGTGGGAGAGCCTCATAGCAACTCTGAGGGACTGCGAACTCTCAATTTTTGCTGACCAGCTAACAACGGCATTGGTCCAACTATCGTAATGACAAGTAGCAGCTATTATTCGCATGCAAACCTATATTGCACGAAACACGAAACACTTGTTTAGAATTTTTCACATAGTGAGCAGAATGTTAGTTTTTCAGGGACACAATGATCACATTTGCGCGGAAGCTATATATATATTTTTATATATAAGTGAAATATACAACGCAAAAGAAACTGAGGAAAAAATGACTAGTAAACAGGGAAAAGTTGACAGACTACAAAGAAAAACTACAATTAAACTAGACCATCGATGGAAGGGGGGAGGGATGGATGGCGGTGCATCCAGAGGCCTGCATTGCCTCGCCATAGGGCTATTGCTAGACGGCCGAAAAGATGCTTCGTCATGATAGTCGGATCGGTGGAGTTCAGCCGCTGACCCAATGCTCGACCTATTGAACGGATGGTAGCAATGGCACAACACAACAACAGGGAGGAAGTCCACACCAGCCGCTCGACAGGATGGAAGGTTGGCTGTCAGCTTCCTTCGAACGCCAACACTAAGGGCATGGCCAGGAGAAGAAGCAGCCAAGCTATACTAAGTGTGCATGTGCGTAGCTACTGATCAACCGGGCCACGCCAATAAGTTAGCTACAAAAATTGTTATAATTCACTGATAATGTATGTAATGGCTCCTCTCCGCGAGTCGTTCTTGCGCAGTGCGCGATATTCAGTTCAGTAGTCTTAGATACTTGAAGACAACAACGACTAGCTACAACGAAATAACAGTGAGCTTTTTATACATAACGAGGTGCATAAGACAGTATAGTGTGTATGATACAACTAATCAGGATGTAGGAGGAAGGTAACAGAAGGAAGGAGGAGGGAGAAAAGAAGGCAGTGAATACGATAATCATCTGCATGCCTTTACACTAGACACTTAACTCTTTGGGCGCCATAGGTGTCTCCTTAAATAAGCAGAAATTGATGTATAACATATTAGCGCCTAGTATTATAGCCATAATATCAGAGAGTCGGTAGACACGGGTGAAATCTCACGTGGCCCGCGTACAAAACGACTAAACACTCGGTGAGAATCAGTCCCTAGGCCTTCAAAACATACTAGCAATAGTCTACGGGCCCATATCAGAACGTCGGTAGACGCTCTATATAGGGATGACACGAGTGAAATCTCACGTGATCCGCG